GCAAAAAGTCAACAGCCGCGAAGATCTTTCCCGGCGAAGATTTTCCCGACGCTGATTTCTCTCAGAGCCACATACGACTCCCCCCTCCCCCTCTCCCAACAACGACCAAATACGACCCCCCTTCCCAGCGGCCAAGTAGGACCCCGTTCTGTATTTCACTTAGGGATACTGTACCCTGACCAGACGGACCATTTGTATCGGTGTGAAGCGTCACTTTCCAGACGTAGCATCGCAGAACGAGTCGACTTGGGAAATAAAGTCGCAATGCTTCTGCCATGTTAGGCGGTTTGGGTCCTCATGCGGATGCAGCGGACGTCGCCACTCGCAATGCCTGGAGCACTTTTACCGCGACTGGGAGGTAACGCCCACACGCGCTCTGTATTTTGTTCTTTCTGGGTCTCCGTTTCCCGCAGAGAATGAACGCCTAATAATCTGCTTCAATCGTTGAGGCAAAAGTACCTTGCCTCACGAGAATGTAAATGACTGCGCTGCCCCCCCCCCCTGTTCTCCTCCGTATTATAAAGCTCACGCTTTACTGCCTCAGTCCAGCCTTGTCATTGCATCACTTTGCGGGCGCAGTTCGCGCCATCGTGAGCAGAATGCGACCGAACAAAGCAATTCGCCTTTGTGCGTCGATGCGCCGTCCATCCGGCGCGGCATTGTGTGTAGCGGGCAGGCCGCGCCAGCGTAAAGGAGTGAAGTAGTGATATCAAGCATAGAAAAGGTCCCTTATCGCTATGCCCACACTCAATAATGCCAGAAGGGGCGGCAGAAAGCTCATTCCGCGAACGGCCGTCGAGGAACAAGACCGCTGCCAGGATTTCTCTGCAGGACCGCCTTTTGCTCGTATTAAGTGAAATCAGCTGTGTGGCACGACACGCATTGATCGAGCGTGGTGGTGTTTTTCTCGGCGTAGATTTAGTGGTGTAGCGTTTTTGTCGCGACAAATAAGCTACTGCTCTTCTAAGTCACCTTGCTAGTTTTCCGTGTGTCAGCTGGTCTGCCCAGCGCTGGTCAGTCCACTAGTTAGGGCGTTGTTGTGACGCAGCAGCGACCGCGTTTCTTGATGAACGATCGATATATACGATTCAAAGAGGCATCATCTCTTTGTCTGGGGAAAAGTACGGGTCTTTTGTTCAGAACTCACTTGACTGTAGACACACTTGTCTTTGATTCGCCTTGTTTTTGCCATATTAACTTGGAAAGAATGGTGGTCGACTTTACTTAGGAGAGTTTTCCTAATTTGGTCACATGATGATGGTTCTGAAGGGTTTCTTCAATATTCTTCTTTTCTTCGTTTTCTGAATTTACTCTTCGTGATTTTGCCTACTTGAGTCAAATGGAATTAAGTACCCGAGCAAAGATACAAGCATAATTAGAATCTCTCATCGCATGAGATCTGCCTATGAAAACGGTCAGAACCATGGAAATGAGCCTCAGACTTTTTGATTCCTTTGCTGCATGTATATCTTACAAACAAAACATTCTTGACTTTTCCGCATCCTTGGCTTGTTTAATGTTTTGAGTGAGTCATGTTTTACATGCGTATCGATCGGTTTTCAGGTGCCGAGTCGCTCGAGACTCCAACTTGCAAAACGTTGCATTTTAGTGGATATCGTGAATGTTTTCTTTGTGTTAACGGCTAGAATCTGGATTCCTGTTCAAGATTTTTGTTCAGGGTATTGTTTCGCTTAGCGCGCCCACATGGCGTGTCTTAGGAAACTGAAGGACGACATTTCTGTTCTTGAATCTCTATTTCCAAAAAACCACGAGCGGTTACAGGTTTGCCTAAACAACTTCTTCTTTTCACTGCCATTTCGATGATCCAATACTACCGTAGTTCCAAAAAAAGAAAAAGAATTCCCCATTTCTTAGGTACTTGTCGCTTCGGTTGACGAGATTACGTTGAGATTCATTGATGGAACCGGAAGGTCGGTGATTATCAATGCCAACATCTTGGTGAGTGCAGGCATAATTTGTCCAGCATTTCTTTTTTCGAAATGTGTTCTTTTGAGATTTTGTAGGGTTTTTTGCTATACTGTAAATTTGAACTTGCGAAGTTGTAATTAAAGAATGGTCCAGGGTGCGCAAATAGCTCAGGGAAGGAGGGGGGGGGGTTGGTCACGCGGCTCCGCGTCCATGTCCCCTTAGTTAGCTTGGACTTCAAGACAGCTCCCGCGATAAAAGTGTCATGGATAGGTTCAATTATGAAACAGTAACAGTAACTGATAAGTAATTCCCCAAAGAAGAAAACAGCAAGAAGAGCCCCCACAGGGTACAGCATGGGGATGTGCGAAATGTCGGTGTGAGTACGACCCCCCCCCCTTCGAATGGGGTCCAGGCACGACCCCCCCTCCCAGAGCAAAAGTACGACCCCCCTCATGGGTTTGACACAACGATGCTGTACCTTGAGCCCTCAACAACACCTGAACAACATCCCTCTCTGGCAGTCACACCGTCCTGCGGTCTCTGTGCAACCCCTGGCTCACAAATCGCTTTATCGCATCTCCCAGTAGTGGATATCATCCAAGTGCAAAAAAGAATACGAAAAACAACAAAAACACGGGCGAAAAACACCTTAAAAAAGAAAATTCCAAGAACCCGTCTTCCGAATTTGGGGTTACGGTGGCGTGCACCTTTTACATGTCGAGCTTTTGCACCACAAAAATTGTATCACTCTGATTTTTGCGCGTTTTACCTTGCGAGATGGGTTGCAGTTGGCTGCATGTGCTCCTAATGAATAAAATGTAATAAAGGAGAGCAGAATTATTCATGGGCACGAAGCGGTCAGCAAAAAGGACATGCAATTCCGATTAATGCCCGCCGCCCCAACAAAGAACAACTGAGCGGCCCTCCGTCAGAGGGCATCTAGCAAGTGGGCGGTCCAACTGGGCGGGCGTTAGAACTAGAACTTTCAGCGGCTGTAGCTCGCTCCTCGCTCACTGTGGAGTCGCGAGAGTGGGACAGTCTCTAGCTTGGGGGCTGAACTATTGCACAAGGAAGGACGACCATGTACTACGTGAGCGCGGGGGCTGTCTTTAAGCCTAGCAGAGCGGAGGAGACCCAGAGCGGCAGCCAGTGGCGCTATTCTCGCACGGGAGAAACACCCCCCCCCCCAATTACTTTTAACCTGTTCATGTAACACGAGCCGATCTACTAGACAGTGCACAGTTATATTTAGTCATTGTGTGGTTACAGCAGTATTATTACCAGATGAGTGAGAGTAAGTACTAGTGCGTTCACACTTTGCGTCAACCGAAATATAAGTAATTTCATGTTTAGGACATGAGTATAACATCTTTTGTGTCAAAGTGACAATCAATCAACCAATCCGCAGTATTTAAAAAAGAATCTACTGCAGTAGCTACCTATCAAATTCGTAGAAATTGAAGCCTGAGCAGTTTCCTCACAAAATTACAAGACAATTCACCTCACCGACTCTCTTCACCATTCCCATTTGAATTCCATGTTTCCTGCTTTAAATATGACAGGAACCATCTGTGCGCTGTTTCAACACATTCCCGGCGGATCTTTTTTGCTTTATTCTTATTTGGCTGCTAGTTTCGCGCTTCAACTATGCCGGGAACCATCTCATGAGCTGTTTCGATTGCTATACTGCCGAGGAAGGAGCAGATGAGATATCGCTCGCCGCGAGCTGCGTGGTCCCCCCCCCCCCAAATACGTTAGCACCTTTTTGAGTTTTTAGCGGACTGTCGCTGAAAACAGTTGCGTACGCAAAACGCTGGATCGATGCCTGAACTTTCCTAGTCTCTCAAAACGCCGCCGTGCTTAGATGCTGGCATAAAGTATGAACGCAACCTAAGGACCTGATTCAATAAAAAAACGATTCCTCTCACGCGATATGTTGCTGAAAAATGGCGTGCTGCTATTTCAGGGGATTTTTAACTTTTTTCTGTTTCTTAAATGTCAACGCGTTCGTAATAACATAATAGGCAATGAGTAAGTTATTAAGGATCGGCTGCCTTTAGGTCAAAGGCTATACGTAATATTTGTCACTACGACTTTATCGCAGATGATTAATAGAAAGACGCAGTACTCCCAAATTTGATGCTTAGCAAACTCAATTCGGTGCTGGACCGCTTTGTTCTGATTTGCTCGTTTAACTGCTTCTAATACCTTCCGAAGTTACTCTCCGTGTCGTGGATGGCTGCGTGCTTCATTTGGACCTAGAGTAGGAAGTATTTTCGTGGGATCTTTCCAATTGAGACAGTTGTCTGCGAAGATACCAAAATGGCAACATCGCACTGAAAGCGCTTCGTTCAAAAGAAGCACGCTGGCGCGCCCCTCCATCTCTGGGATGTGACGTGTAAAACACTTGTTTGTGTTTCTCTAGCACAGAAGAAATAGTAAAGAGTAACTACTGTTCTGGTGCCTGATTCCGTTCGCTCCAGCCTTTGAAACTTGCGACGAAGTGGTGTTATTGTCAAAAACTGGATCTCGTCTCTAGTCGGTGCGTGTCAAATTAGTCCAGAAATTCTTTACAGCTTGAGAAATGGTCTCCAGGATTTTAGCACTCGCCGTACATTTGTTTCATATTGAAGAAATGTTCTACTCGTTCTTGTTCCTATTTTTCAATTTCGGTTCGAAACTGGTTCTCTCATCGAACCACTTTGGCTCCCATGGTTGGCAAAATCGAAATATGGTAGAAAAAAATCTAAAGTACTGGCTGACCCCTCTTGTACAGCACGTTAGCATACAGATTGGTATGAGGAATGCATTTTTTTCAATTGTCTGAATGCACTGATGCGTTTCGTTACTGATATACGAACCTGGTTTGCCAATCCTGTATGTGTCACTTGGGAACTTATTGGAATCACTTCTTCTTATATATCGTTAGCCACTTCTGTAGCGGTTTCCGCTGTTCTGATTGCCGCTTCTCCTTACTGAAACTCTGATGGTGTGAGTGCCGAACCATCTCCGAGTCGCACGTCGTTTGTGGAGCTTTGAGGCATTCTTTGAGGCAGTTTTCCGGCATTTTGAGCTGCGCCCATACCGTCAAAGGAGTGCTCCGCTCATTTTACAAACGACGGGAGCTATGCTGAATCTTTTGCATATGCCACCGATGTAAATGTGTTCAATACGTGTGACAACGGCCATACAGCGCAGCATTTTTCGTCTTCGTAATGCTGCTTTCATACTTCACTGCGTCAACATTTTGAGCGTTTCGAGCGACGCCGGCGTTTGAGCTTCCGAGCGAATATGAAAGCATATGTATCGATCTAGCGTAGGCAGCGTTTCAAACGTACGCCAGCATTCGAGCGTTTTTGGGGCAGTTTTGAGCTTTTGGCGGATAGTCTTTAGAAACGCTGATGCAAAGTGTGAATGCAGCCTAAAATCGGGGGCAAGCTAAACTTCTTCGCTCACACGCCATCACTAAGCACCGTATTAGAAGGCTCTACACTTCGTAATTCGGTCGTTACGATTGCGATTTCATCGCGCTGCTTGTGTCCTCGCCGAGCGCTAGTTTCGCCTGATCAGAACGACTATATGAGCGTGCGACCCTCTAACACCACTAGTTAGATCTTTAACCTGTCAGCTAACAATTCGAGGAATCGGTATCTTAAGACATTGTGACGTCGCATGACGACAGTGAAAAGGGTAATAAATGATCAAAATCACTGCACCGAGAGATTCCGACCAATTATTGAGTTCGCTTTCTAAGTTGGAGCTGCGGCCGAGAAGCGAGTTGAGAAAAAATGCCAAAGAATTCCCTTAGATAGCACGCTACGATGCCGATTTCTCTTTTCTTACATCTGTCTCTGAGATGTTCTAGATATATTCAGAGCTACATTTGCAATCAATCTTTGCTAGGTACCAGCTCGGCTGGATGAGCTGTTGCGTTTGAGAACTTTTACAGGGATATAATTCTGTTGTCCCTTGCGCGGGGGCGAAATTACTTGATTGTCATAAAAATTTCAATTACCACAGCATGTTATTGAACTGTTTCGTGCTTCCATCGAGATCACTTCATGACGGTTTCTTTCCTTTCATTTTGAGCATATTTTTTGCTTAAAATTTATTTTCTTTCTTGGCTTCAAAGCAGCTGTAATTACTTGTTTTGGATTATTAGATCTGATATTGGAGATATCGATTAGATAAATGAATTCATAAAGTTTACTGGCATGATTCAGGAGGATTATCCACGCCAAGCTCCTCTGTGGTTCAGCGAGTCAGACGATGCAGTTATTTGTTCAGCATTAGAAAGATTGTCCTCAGGAGCCGATCAGCAAAATTGCTTACTTGCACAGGTTAATGTTATCTTCGATCCCGCTACTTCTTTGCTATAGTCATGAGTGTGCTGAGGCGTTAAACTTCTTGCCCTAGCGCTTAAGCGAATTCTTGACAAGTAATGGCTTCCTAGAAATCATTTTGAAAAAGTTCGCTTTCGTTATTGAAATGATGGCTTCATCCGTCTTTGGGAGAAAGCGTTTATGAAACTGGTAGTTTGGCAAGTAACAGTACGGTCTTGTTCGTTGCGAATGATGGGGCGTGTCGAGAGGGATAGGTTTGGCACGGCACCAAACCCGTTTTCGACGTGTCGTTGAAGCAGGGAACGGACAACATTTGGTGAAAAACGACTGATACAGTAGATGTGTTACAACTTTGTTGCTTGCTCGCTTCAACAACTTGTGGGAAACGGGTTTGGCTTTGGCTCTGCGCCAAACCTATAAGCAGGCCGCGGCCCATCATGCGCAGCGAGCAAGGCGTTGTATATTCTTGTACAACTAGTCTAGCTTGTTCTTTACGCTGCACATTCTCCATGGTATGTGAAGTGTAAGAAAAATGAGCTGCATAAGTGTAGTTTAGCAGCTACTCTGCTGTCTGTCTTTGCTCATCATCTCGTATAAATTTCTGCAATTTCAGATCCACAAATTGGTCTCAGAACTATGTCGCCAATATAACGTCACGATTCCGTCAGAATTGACTCGTTTGGCACCTCCTGATGAGGATGATCTGAAGGATGAAGGACAAGGGAGCGACATGGAGTCGGAGGATGAAGAAGGCGAAGAATTGGTTGAGGTATGTCACTGAAAATGAAGGGGTCAGTCCAGGAGCTCAATTTTTCCCCATGTTCACGAAAATATTGAAGTAATGGCAAAAGTCTGACCTCAGGCAAGACTTGACCCCCCACCTCACGCTTTCCGGGCGAATGTGCTTGCCGTTAACCCACCAGGGTCGTGCTTGCCCTCTCAACTTGACTTTTATGCTGTAGCCTTTCCACGCTCACATTTTTAACATGGTGAAGCGGTCACGTATCGTTAGATGTCGGGAGTGAGCCCCAAGGTTGGAGGCTTTACAAGTTTTTGAAGTAGTTTTTCAGAGGATAAGATCGGCACAGGCGTATTGCATAACTCCTGGAAAGCGTGAGGTATGGGTCAAAGCCCCACTAGATAGAGTCAGACATTTGCTCACCACTCAGAATTCTTGAGCTAACTTACGGAGCGCGAACTGTCAAACAGCGGTCATCATAAAAAGCAGTCTCTAGAATTTATGTACTTTTTCAGATCGCCGAAGTTGATATGACCGAAGAGGAGCCCCACGGTAGCACGGACGATGATGTTTCTCCGGAAGGAAAGGAGATGCTCGAGAAAATCACGAGGTCGACTCGTCAACAACATCTGAATGGAAATGTGGGGAAATTGTTTATTTCAAAATGTGTTTATCCTTTTTTGAAAGCGTCAACTCGTAAAATAACGAAAGTTTATAAGATTCATTTTGTACTGTGCCCCTATTACCTTAATTTTCATCTGCTGCTATGACACTCCACAGTAATGACTAAGTTCATCGATTCCAGATCCAAGGATCTGTAACGGCTACCGATCGTCTGATGAAAGAAATGAGGGATATCTACAAGAGTGAACACTTCAAGAACGGTTTGACTTTTACAAGACCTATTTGATTTGCTTTTTTTAAAAAGCATCATTTAAAAATTATCTTCTAATGACTGAGTATTTCCCCGCAGTTCGGTTTGGTGAGGCATTTTGCTGGTTTTCATCGATCACCGCCAATGTCCTCTGTGGAGACCGGTGGATTCCTTTAAAGCTTTGCTATAGGATGAGCTTTTGTTGCTCTAGACAGTAGTTTACAAGTACGTGTATTTTAACAAGAGCTAGCAAAAAGTGAGCGAAAGTGCAGAATGTCTATACCCCCCCCCAATCCGAACTGCGGCGGAATTTCTCGAGTAATGTGTATTTTTCATGATTGTCCTTGTCTTGTGTGAGACTGATTACATCACTTTCTTATTTTATGAAAAGTCGGTCATCACCTGTATTTAGGTGTTTATTCTATTGAGCTGCGTGATGGGGATAACTTGTACGAGTGGTGGGTGAAACTCTACAAGGTAAGATCCTTTTCTTATGTATTTACATTTGTCCTTTTCACGTTCTAATATGTTCAGGTGGATTCCGACAGCGCATTGTACTCTGATCTTCTCACATTAGCTACTGAACATAAACAGGATCATATTCTCTTCCACTTTCTCTTTAACGAGAACTTCCCTTGTGACCCACCTTTCGTGCGTCTAGTGTCACCGACGGTGAGTAGACTCAGGGTTTTCGTCACGTAATATGAAAATGAAGCGGAGCTCATGAATCAAGCGTACTCCTTGTTATACACTCTTCCTATTTGTTATATCCCAGTGATGGGGAAGGCGTGACTGCATGCATCATTCAACTAGCGTAGAAGCATTTTTCGTGGCATATTTTCAATCGAGACACTTTTTCGTGTTCTCGTCGTTCTTTCATCATTGAAATGAACTACCAAGAAAAGGTGATGGGGCTCAATAAGGACGTTTTCCAACGGCATCCTTTGCTTACTTCTTAGTTAACAATTCATTTAGCCCTCACGTTTTCATAACTGAAGTTCATTATGACTTGTAGAGGTGCGAAAAGAAGCGATGAGTCGACGTTTTAAAGGAATGCACGCCAATGGAGTTGACAGGTATCGATCGGCGCCGGTTGCTATGAATTCGATGTTTCGGTGGAATGCGCATTCCGTTCACCTGTTCTGAAAAAACTAACGACCAGTCGCGATCGATATCCATCTATTCTTCTTGCGTGCGTTCTCCGAAAACGTCGGTTTGCGGATGCTCCTAACTGCTCCTTCTCCCAACTTTTCCTCCGCAAAGCATGAACGAACTATATCGCCGAATGAGCCGCTTCCATGCAGGTTTCCAACGGATATGTCCTCGGTGGTGGAGCAATATGTATGGAATTGCTGACTAAGCAAGGATGGTCATCAGCGTATTCGATCGAGTCGCTCATCCTGCAGATTGCAGCAACTCTGGTAAAGGGGAAGGCTAGGATACAATTTGAGGCTAAGGTTTGTTTTTACCGTATGCATCTTCACATGAATAGGTTGTTGGATTGTTATAAGGTTTTAGAGTGCGTTCATAGTTTGCGTAGCGTTTTCAGCGACTAGAAAGGTATGGGTATCAGTCTAGCGTTCCAACGTCCACCAGCCTTTTGAGCGTTTCGAGCGGCTAAGAAAGCATAGGTATCGATTACCGGTAGAAGAGCTGGTGGACGCTAAAACGATAGATCGATGCCTATGCTTTCCTAGTCGCTGAGAACGCTGACTGACGCTCAAAACGCTGACGCAAGGTGTGAACGCACTCCCATTAACTTCATATTTTATGTTAAATAAATATTCTGATTTTGAAAGTTTTTGTTTTCAAGGCGCAATACAGTCTTGCAAGAGCTCAGCAGTCGTTCAAATCACTGGTACAGATACATGCAAAATCAGGCTGGTACACTCCACCCACTACTGAAGGATGACGGTCTAACTTTTTCCACAGAAAGGTCTTTGGTTCTCTACCACGGTTTATTTTTCTTTATCATTTGGCTTTCGAATCGGCTATCTTCATTGTACTGAAGTTTTCGATCCGTTGTCTCTTAACAGATTTTTTACTACAAGTTTATCTACAAATGTGTCAGGTTATCCGGATTCAGAGTTTTGCCACAAAGACCCCCATTCAATACGTAAATTTCCTGTGTTCACATTATTTTGAGAGTTTCAGTTTTTCATTGTAACAAATATTTTTTTAGTTAGTCGTAACTGGTCATATGGCACTGGAATTATTATCTAGTGTATTCCACTCTTTCATCTGTGGTAATTACATCCCGATTTTTTATTATAGAATCTGCAGTTGTACAGTTTACGCTAAGAAAGGTTTTTATTTGCTTAAGGAAGATCGTTAGTATTCTGAAGTTTTGAAACATATGAGGGCTAGGTATGTCATGTTTTTTTTCTTTCTTCCTGAAGTTCTTCTTTTTATTGGTGATGATATTGCCTGGTAGTTGTCCGATTAACTGGATATGGTATGGGATTTTTCCCATGTTCTGTCTATGTTTTTGAATTAAATAATGATATAAGAGTTCTTTGTTCACAGAAATAGTTCAGGATCCAATATGTGAGGAAAATTATTCAAACGATGGGGAAATTCGAACAGTGTTTGGTCATAAGTTAATGCTAGGTTATCTTTAGAGCAGCGGGCTCTGAAGGGCCGGAAAAGAGTAACTAGGCAGGAAGTTTGGACCGTAATTTCTCGAGGAACGTTGTGTGATTACCTGAGGGGAATACTCGCTCGCACAAAATTAGAAGTGCTTGTTTCTAGTTACTAGCTCCGCATCACTATATCCGC